TGTGTGTCTGTGACCCCTCCACACGGGATGGACACACGCTCCAGCCTGGACCGGCCAGGCTCCCATCTGCGGAGGCTCCGGAACCAAACACACCACTGGTCCACAGACACAGACACACACGGACACACACGCACACACATCCAGGGCAAGGGGCACGGTCTGGGGGCCGTGATGCAGCTAGTTCTCATTCTGCTACTGACTTCTGGGACCTGAGCAAGCCCGAAGGGCCTGGCTGATGGCTCGTAGAGCACTGGGAGTCAGCGGCATGTCCCTGGGACCCCTCCCCTCCCCTCCCCAGTCTCCTCTCTGCTCGCCACCAGGTGGAGCACGTGCACCACAGAGACCCTTGGAAACAGAGCAGCAGGGTCCCGGAGAACAGGGATGCAGGGCGGGGGGGTGCGTGTGTGGCACACATGTGGGAGATGGGGACACACCCAGCCCACAGGCGGGGAGACTGGCCAGGACGGGCCCAAGTGTGCCCTCTCGTGAACTGCAGGAGTCAGGTGGCCTGGCAGTTCCTCAGAGATGGCTCCCCTTTGGGTCTGAGCCCAGAGGTGTCTCCCCACCCCAGGGCAGTCTCAGAAGCTTCTGGAAAGAGTCCTGTAGGGGACAGAGGGGAAGTTTGCCCTCCGTGGGCAGCTGCCTTCCCTCGCCAGTTCCCTGCACTAGCCAGGCAGCACTCACCCCATGGCTCCTCTGGGCCCTGACCCAGGGTGGCGTCCCACGTGGCCATGTCCCAAGCTCTCCCTCGGGAGCGGCTCCCGCATAAACACGCCTCCGTCCAGGCCCAGGCTCACTGGGCTCCTGCACCACTGTGTCTCCCCCATCTACTCTACTCTCACCCCTTGTCCTCTCAGAGGTCTTCTGCATGTCCCCCAAGCCCAGGAGAAGGCCATGCTACAGGGCTCTGACTCCCTGAGGACCCCCGGGGTCCCCAGGCTGAGGGAAACCGGCAGAGGTGCCAGGCCCCCCGCTGCCCGCGGCACCCAGGGGCCCTGGAGCCCACCTCCACCGGCCTCGCGCTGGGCCCCCCTCGACGGAACGGCCGACAAGGAGCCCGCGCCCGGCACCAGCTCAACTCAGCAGACTCAGGACGGCCCAAGGCTGGTGGCTGGTGGGAGGCCGACTTGGGCCCCATAGGCCGAGCCCTGTGCCCACCGCCCCACTCGGTGGCGCATTCCCCCTCGTCCCCTTAGAGGCGGTCAGGCCCAGTTCTGAGCTGGGGCCCTTCTTCTGGATGCCCGAGTCTCCCCTCTGGCCCCTAGGCTCCTCGAAGCAGACTATGCGCTCACTGCTGGCCGGTAACCCAGTGCAGGGCAGCTCCGGGAAAGGTTGGGGACAGAACGGATTTTCGCACAAACTCTCCTCCCTCTGGAAGACCTTCTGCAGGCCTCCGGCCTCCCCATCAGAAGTCTGATGTCCCCTCCTCAGGCAGCCGTGATGGGACTGGAAGCCAGTGCCGGTGGTCCAGCGGGGGGCCACCTGGTCTACGAGGTCCGGACGGGAGTAGGGAGCACAGCAGACGGCCCCCCACTCCCGGCCCCCAGCGGTGCCCTGTGCAGTGCCTCGGTCGGGGATGGAGATTAGGCCAGGGCGCCCTGAGCTGAGCCCTACTTAGGGACCCAGGGACAAGGCCCTGCCTTTCCCCAGACACATGGGGCCCGAAAGTGGCTTCAGCTACCTGAAGACCACTCTGTGATTAGGAGTCGTCCCAACTTGGGTCCTCGGGAGCTTATCCTGGGCTCCAGGCCCGTATCTGCAACCCCTTTCTGGAGCAAGCGACTTCTCCATACCCCAGGCCAGCCATCTGTACCACGCGGGTAGTCACGGCTACCTTGCAGGCTGATGGGAGGTTTACAGCAGCACATTCATCAGTGTCCGTCCTAGGAAGAAGCCCTCAGCAGATGGGGGCTTGCATCTTGCTGGCTTAATGCCAGTTCCCACAGAGGAGGCGAGCCTACCTGGAGAAAGCCTCAGGCTGCATTAATGAAAAGCCAGGGTTGAGAATGAGGGGGTATAGCCCTGCCCTCCCAGGGCTTGATCAGGACCTGCCCAGATGAATACCTTAGACATCGAGCCCCGCCCTCCCACTCTCCCCTCCACATCCCAGGCCTCCTTCCTGAGATCTGAAACAACGTTCCTGCTTCAGGAGTGGTTCCTATTGTTGTAGGTCCTTGGGCGGGTGGGGTGGGGGGGCCACACTGACTTTTGTGAGCTCCTGCTGGGGCAGGGTCGAAGAGGACGCCCAGACCCACATCTTCCACATCTGGGCAGAAGCACTTGTGATAGTTTTGGGGGTTTTTTTGTTTTTTTTTTTTTAAAGATTTATTTATTCGGGGCGCCTGGGTGGCTCAGTGGGTTAAAGCCTCTGCCTTCGGCTCAGTTCAGGATCCCGGGGTCCTGAGATCGAGCCCCACATCGGGCTCTCTCCTCAGTGGGGAGCCTGCTTCCTCCTCTCTCTCTGTCTGCCTCTCTGCCTATTTGTGATCTCTGTCAAATAAATAAATAATATCTTTAAAAAAATAAAAATAAAAATAAAGATTTATTCATTTGAAAGCACACACGGGGGGTGGGGGTAGGGGAGAGCAGAAGAGAGGAACTTAATCAGACTATGTGCAGAGCGCAGAGCCCCATTCGGGGCTCGATCTCATGACCGTGAGATCACAACCTGAGCCAAAAACAAGAGTCAGACACTTAACCAACTGTGCCACCCACACGCCCCTGATAGCTTTATGTGACATTTTAACTGAGTCATGGGGGCCCAGATACCTGGTCAAACATTATGCTGGGTGTGTCTATGCAGGTATTTCTGGATGAAATTGACATTTCAGTTAGTCACCTGAGTAGAGCAGATGTCTGATGGCCCTTCCCAATGTGGGTGGGCCGCAGCCAATTTGTTGAAGGGCTGAACAGAGCAGGACTCAGTCAAGGGCAATTCTGCTCTGAGGGTCTTGAACTGGGACGCTGATCTCTTGCCTTCAGACCCTTTCTGGAATGATGCCATCGGTTCTCCCGGGTGGAGCTCCAGCTCACAGACATTGGGGCTGTCCAGCTTCCAGAATCATGGGGGCCAATGCCTTATAATAAGAGTGTGTGTGTTTAGATCTCTGATTGGGTCTGCTTCCCCGGAGGGTCCTGCGACAGCAGTCATTCCCATCCATGCCCCACCCCCATTCCTGGCCCCGCAGCGCCCCCAACAGGCAGTACTGATTAATGTCTTCTGTAAAATTCAAGTCCCTCCTGGGGGGGGCCCCTGGAAGCTCACCGCCCCCCCGCCTCCGCCAGGCAGGTGTCAAGACGCCGCCTCGTCACTTTCTAGCACAGACAGTGCTGCCCGCCGAGGCCCACAGTTGGGGGCGCGCTGGGAACGAGCCTCCGGTGGTGCCATTGACTCGCCAGGCACTCGGGGACAGCTGGAGTTCACTAACGAGACAGCCACCGCCCCTGCCCACCTGCGAGGCAGGCTCCGAGCTCAGGCTCTGCCCGCTCACCTCCATCGCCCGCCTCTCCGTTTCAGCCCTTCCACCAGAGAAGACACTGAGGCTCTGAGAGGCCCCAAGGCAGGTGTGACAGACATGGCTGGCGCCCGTCTTGACTATACATCTCCAGTCCTGATCAGCCCTTCCCGCTGCCATGCCCTCCGGGGAAGGTGGGCCCTCCTCAGCCAAGGGTGCCTCTTGACTGGCCAGTCACGGTCACCTCACACCCCCTGCCAAGGCACTGACCTAGGTTTCAGCCAAGGAGAGGGGAAGCTGGTGGGGAGAATTCTGGAAAGTTCTCCTCCCTCTCCAGGAAGAAGAGAAGACCGGGTTGCTTCTTATCCTGCCTGTGGAATGCTGTGTCAGCTGGACTGCGGGGACCCCAAGGAGACAAGCATGAGGACAAAAGCTAAATGAGAGATTGGGTGGTGCGGTGGTAGGCAGGGGTGGAGGGTACGGTGGAGGGTACCCAGGGGCTCCAGGGATATGCTCTCTCCAGAGGCTGGCCTCGCCAAGCCTACAGCCCGCTGTCTTTGAAGTTAACGTGTGAGACAAACGTCTTACAGTACAAGCACCTTCTGCACGGTTTTGTGCTGCTGGGACCAGAGGTGTCCCTCCAGCCACTGGCTGAGAAACCAGGTCTCCCTCCAGGCCCGTGCCAATGGCTTGGGTGCCCACTCTGTCCTCATGGGGCCTGAGAGTCAGACCTGCCAGGGACGGTCACCTTTTATTTCCATGAGCATTTCTTGGCACAAACGGGGCAGACATTGAAGAAAAGGCTGCGAAGACTTACAGACACAGGGACAGGACAGGGGCCGAGCTGACCGACAGCAGCCTGCTGAACCCGCCTTGACCCGAGGGTCTGGAGCAGCCCGGAGGCTCTCGGGGGCCAACACGAAACTCCGAGAATTCCATTTATTTGATCATTTTTAATACAGGAAATGCCAGACCAATCGACAGGGAGGACAGACCTTGCACAGAGGCCTGCGCTCACTACGCGGACGGACGGACGGTCGCCACGGCACTGGGCACGCATGCATTTCCTTGGAAACGGGCAGATTGAGAGAGCGCATAAATACCACAAAATAATCAGGCTCGGGGGCGGATCACGGGCCACTGGGGCGGTGGGGACCACGCATCACAGGCAACGGAGGCACGAAATACGGGACCTACACGGCACACGTCACTTCACCAGGGGCATAATTTATACACGAAAAGGAAGGAGGCCACAGTATCCGTACGTGCAAGCAGCTTTGGTCAGAGGAAATGCACGAGCGAGGTGGGGCCATGCATGGGGAGGGCTCGCCCGTCTACTCTCCCTCCGCTCTCGTCCCCACCTTTCCCACGGCCACCTGCCAACACCACATACAACAGCTGGCCTGGTCTCGATATCAGCAAGTCCCATCCGTGTCCTCGGCGGTGTTCTCCGGGCTCCCTGGGGCGGGGACATGCCCCGGGAGCCGGAACTGTGAGCCCTGCGTGTAAACGCCTCCCCGGGGGGTGGGGGGGGGTCCCTGGCGGGGGGCCGGGCAGGGGGACAGGAGGAGGCCAGGTGGAGGAGGGAGGCCCAGCCCGTGCAGGTCGCCTGGGCCCCGGCGAGCAGGAACGGTGGAGGCGGCGTCCGCTTCTGCAAGTAAAGCTTCGACGGCGGGATGAGCCTGGGTTCCTCCGCCACCGTCGGGGCGCCCGGCCCCTCAGAACTGACTGGCACTGCTGGGGTCGCACTGCAACAGCCGGACGATGGAGGGGTCGCTCTTGGCACCTTTAATGAATTCTTCCAAGGACAGTTTGCCTGCGGCGCAGGAGAGAGGAGAAATGCGGCTCAGCCGGAGCTCTGCGCTCTTCATGCGTCCCGAGGTCCCGGCCGCCGCTCCCACACCGGGGGACGCCTCCTTTGGTCCAAGGCTCGCACCTTCCTTAGCTTGACCAAAGTGGGACTCCACTAACTTTGCACACCTTTCTGGAAAATCCCTTTCTGCTTTCACTGCCCAGGGCGAAGTATCAGGCGCCTTAAAGGACACACCCCGAGACGACAGGCGCTGTGGCTTAAGGACAACGTCAATCCTTTTGGAAGCCACCCCAGGCTTTACGTAAGAAAGGTGGGACTCGTCCAGGAAGAAAGTCACCCGTAGCTGATTTGGAGCTGAGGGGACCATGGCTGGGGCGGGCGGGGGGCTGCTGGGGACCCCCACCCATCACTGCCCAGTGCCTGCTTTCCCCTGGGGGTGGCATGGCTTGCTGCTCGCTGGCAGGATCGGCCAGTGACGCCCTCCTCCTCTGTCCCTCCCACACCACCGACCCCGTTACCGCTAGGACCGGGAGTAGGAAAGTGGGTTTGAAAACTGAAGTGAGTTCCGGGGGGAAGCCGTGTGGGGACACCCCCGCCCCCCTGTCAACGTGGAAGGACCTAGGTCTGAAGCTGGCCCTGTTCCAGTGACTTATGCCTTGGGGGAGTCTGTGGCTGTGAGGCTGTGGTGACAGTGACCCTGCAGATCGGCAGTAAAGGGACCGAGAAGCCTGTGGCCTGCACCACGCCGCCACAGGCAAGATACCAATGTTTCCACATCTCAAGATCTTTAGCTCTGACCTGGTTGGGAAGACGTGCTCAGCAAGCTGGGGCCAGGGAGCCAGAAGCAACATCCAGAAGCTTCCAGGCAGAGACCCCGCCAGCCCCCTGCCCGAGAGGAACACCCCTCCTCCTGGCCACCAGCAGGAGGCAGGCAGGCTGGCCCCAGGGGAGACAATACAACACCCAGGCTCAAGGACGGACTGGGAAGCAGCCCCCTCAATGGAGGAGAAGTTCTCCAGGGCCCTGTGCCTGCACAGAGGGGCTGCTGGGCTCTGGTGCTCTCCTGTGGTTGGTAGGGACTTTTACCCACCACTCCAACTCTGATCACTCAGAGCGAGAAGCTTCTGAGAGCAGAGCCCCTCCTCCTGGTAGACAGCAGGACAGGTGAGGGGCTGATGGGGGACCCGAGGGGCTCTGGGGGTTCCTGAACACAGTCTGGGTCTGTCCAGCAGCAGTCGGCGTGTTCCTGGTGCTCAGCCCGTCTCCATTTACACTGACGGCCGGGATGGGTGTGGACGGGAGAGCGCTGTGCTGGGGGAAACCCGCCAGGCCCCCCTGACCCCTGGGGAGGGTGGCAGGGAAGGTAAGACAACGTGCAGGGCCCTGCCCACTCTAGCAGCCCCCTCAAGAAGGGGTGCCCCTGAACACCCCTGCCTTTACCTTCATCTCTCCAACAGCAACTCTCCCTTCCCGCACCAAGGCCTGGGACAGATGGACCCCGGGGCTCACAGAGGTGCCCCGCACCACAGTGCAGAGACTCGGGGTCCCAAACAAGCTGGGAAGGGGTGGGCCCAGTTGGCCTTCCGGAGGAGCAGCGGGGGGAGCTCAGGCTGGGAAGCCAGGCAGGGGAGAGGGGTCGAGAGCGCCATGCCCAGGGCTCTGTGCTCACAGCACTCTGGGCATCGTCTCCCTGAATCCTCACAACCACATGAGCCTGCATTTATTATGCCCATTTCACAGAGGAGGAAACCAAGGCTCAGGAGAGCCAAGACTCGGTGCAGGTCCATCGGAGTCTGAAGCCTGCGTCTTGCTACCCTGGAGGGTGAGGCCAGGCTTTAAATCTGCCCAAGGGCAATGCCAGGCTAAAGGCTGTCTTGTTTCACTCGTGACCATGACTAGGGAACCGCTGCCAGGCTGTCTGCTGTGCCCGGCGCACCTTCTGCCCCTGTGCTCACACAGTAAGCCTGTCCCTGGGCCAGCTCAGTCCTCAAACCCATTTGCCAGCAGCGCTGCAGACCTTACAGAGCATTTCCTGATGCATTAGCTTGTTTTTTCTCCAGCTCAACCCAGGGGGTGTTTCCTTTTCTACTCTGTATGTCCCATTTTTTTATTGTTCAAAAGCAAATCCAACCTGACTCTCAGACTGCACTTGGCAAAGCCGGTAGGAGGCCTGGACCTTCCGGGTCGCGGCTGCCTGCTCTTACGTGGATCCTGCAGAGTCCCACTGCCACGGTCCCCCAACAGGGCCCCTGGGGGCCGCTGGGGAGCCTGGCATCTCAGGATGACAGCAAGGGTCCCACCATTCAGGACCCTTGATCTGCACCCTCCCCCCAAACCCAAGAAGGGCCCAGGTGCCATCAGTGCCCCTGCCTCCCTGTCCCTGGGACACATCCATGGGGCTGACAGTCTCTCCTATTTTAAAAGCACTTTAAAACGACACTAGGGCTCAGCGGGGACAGGGAGCACAGAGGACACAGCCAGGACACAGACCCGGGTCTCCCTGACTGAATCCTGCCTCTTCCCTCAGGCCAGGGGGAGCTGGGGGAGGCCTGAGGAGCCGCCGAGGGAGAGGGAAGTGTTCTAAACATGCCTCTGCTCTCAGTAGCCCTGCACACACGCACACACACACACACGCACACACACGCACACACGCCCACTTCTCACCGTCGTTGTTGGTGTCCATCTGCCTGAAGATCTTGTCCGTTCGTTTCTCCGGAGTGGACTCATCCTCGGGCATTTTCATCACAGAGGACACCATTTTGTATATAGCCTGCAAAGAGACACGTAGAAGCATGTGCTCCGAGATTCTGGAACGTTCCTGGGCAGGTGGGGCAGGTGTGAACTTCTGCCCAGGCCACAGAAAGGCACAGAGAGGTCGGGATGCGAGCAGCCGTCAGGACCCTTCCTCAGCTTTCTAGAGGAACATTTCCAGAATGTTCCACGGAGACTATCACAGACAGCACACTGGGCAAAGGAAACCAGACTAATTTATGTGACGTTCGAGAGCAGGCAAAACCACACCACAGGGACAGCCCGGAGACTGGGGGCTGTCTGGGGTGGCAGGTGGGATAGTGCTCGGGACGACACTTGAGGGACCCTTCTGGGGGACTGCGAATGTCTCTAACTCACCAAGGGTGGTGGTCTTACAGGCATATGTGCACGACCCATCGTTCCCCAGCACACAGCTGTGAGCATTTCGCTGTGTGACTGTTAGACCTCTGCTTAAAACGAGCAAGATTTTGCCCCTGACACCCATAGGGAGAACCACATTGTGACCCCCAGAAAGGTATCTCCAGAAGGATGGAGAATGCACAGGTGCACACCCCCTGGGACAGGACATCCTCACGGGACTGGGCCACGCAGCACGCCCAAGGGCAGAGCCAAAGGCAGCACCAAGCCACTCCAAGGTCTTGGTCAGCTTCCAAAGTACTTAAAACTCCAGTCCATGCTGAGAAGGGTATAAGAGGTCAGTATCTCACCCAGCAGGCTGAGGGGCCACGGGGAAGGGTCTCGGGTTTGGGAATGTGGTGGGGGCACCTAGCAGCCGGATCCCATTCGCACAGGTGTGGCGCACCCCCTACCTGATGTGTCTTGGTTTTGGCCAGGCTGGTCTGCTCAGCCAGCGATGGGCATGCCCGTTTGCAAAAGGGGTGACAGGTAGGCTAGGATTCCAGGGAAAAAGAATTCTCACTCCCACCGCCTCTTACAGCGAAGGACCAGAAGGGACAACTGAGCCACACAGGTCCCACCTGTGCTGACTTACTCTGCACGAGAACCAGCTATAGGGGGCAGCGGGGTGGTCACTCCTCAGGCCAAGTGCGGCTGGCGCGGGAGCTCATGGGGTTGACGCTCTTTGCTCAAGACTTAGCTCCTGGGCCACAAAGTTCCTTACATGCAGAGAAGGCCTCTTCTCAGGAATTCTAGAACCGAATCCCCCCGGCTCCAGGGGCCCCAGGGAGCGGCAGCTTCCGGCTCTCTCCCCTCCCACAAACCCAGGCAGCCGGTGAAGGGAACCGAACGGGATTTCTTTCTGGAAAACGGCCTCACCTGCCTCTGACAGGCATGAAGGCATGAAGGGGGAAAAGGCCTCACAGGGAGATGTTCCTTCTGAGTCAGAGCCTGTTACTCTGGGACCACTAATATTTCGGTTTTCCTTTACCGCGGCACGATCCTGGGGACGTGGCACGCTCCTGGGGACGTGGTAAGCTGCGTGTCGCCGTCTCGAATACGGAGACTCGAGAAGGGCTTAGCAGGGAGCAAGGGACCTCCCCTTTAGGATTTTCAGCTCTGCTAATTCTTAGGACATGCCTTCTCTGAGCCTCGGACTTCGTGAAATGCGGAGAAGGACCCCCCACCCTGCCCTTAGCCCAGGCCTGGTCCAGAAATATTGGGTCTTATCATCTCTACGGCAGGGACCTCCCCGGCCAGGTGACAGGCAGTCCATGCTGGGGCAGGGGACAGGTGGCTTCGAGGGGATGGGGCAGGAGGGGGCGGGGGCCTTACCTGCACGACCTCCAGCATCTTACGCGGGGGCAAGTGGCAGGTGGCTGCGAGGGGCCCGGGGCGGGCGGGGCGGGGCGGGGCCCTACCTGCACGATCTCCAGCATCTCACTCCGGCTGATGTAGCCGTTGCCGTCCAGGTCGTACATGCTGAAGGCCCACTTGAGCTTCTGCTCCAGCTTGCCCCGGGACGTGACGCTCAGCGCGATGATGAACTCCCGGAAGTCGATGGTGCCGTCCCCGTTGGTGTCGAAGGTGCGGAAGACGTGCTCGGCGAACTTGGAGGCGTCACCGTACGGGAAGAAGTTGGCATAGATCTTCTTGAACTCGTCCACGGTCAGGTGGCCGGTGGGGCAGTCCTTCAGGAAGCCCTTGTACCACTCCTGCAGCTCGTGGTCGGTGAACTCCGTGTTCTCGCGCAGGTCCTGCAGCACCTCGGGCCGCAGCTTGCTGTTCTGCTTGCCCATGGCAGCGGCTGGTCACCCCTGCGAGACGGGCGGGGGCGGGGGCGGGGGTCAGCAGGGGCAGGTGCCCCGGGGAGGGGGGTGCTGCGTGGAGAGGCCCCCACCGTGCATGAACGCCCTGCGGGGAGGGGGACCATTCGTGGGCACATCCTGTCTCCGGGATTGTGTTAATGGGGGGGAGGGGCGGGATGCAACCGAAATCAGTGGAATGAGGTGGTCCGCGGCCGGCCGAGCGCACCCGTGACCCTGGGATCTGAACGGCTCTCTCCTCTCTTCGGCACCACGTTCTACTTTTGGAACAGGAGTCCAGAAACTCTGAAGGTGTCCCCTCTCTGTTTTGCCTCTGAGAAGCCCCCCGGGGTGGGGGGCGGGGTGGGGTGGCTCTAGAATTAGAACGGAGCAGCCCACGACGTTTCCCGAATGCGACCAGTAGCAAATCGGGCGCCGTGGGAGCGCGGGATGTGCCCCCCATGCAGCTCCCCGCGCGGCCCGGATGGAGGACTGATCCGCAGTGACATGGCGGCCACACACTGACCCAGCTGTCACCTCCCCAGCTCATTTCATGGTCCGGCTCTGATGGTAACATGGAACAGTCATCATTTTTCAAACATACAGAAGACGAGACCATCAAAGTGAAATGTTTCCCGCCCCCGTCCCGGAGACGCCCGCTTGGAACTGCTTCCGTATTTAGGAACCCCAAACAGTGTGCACCGCGCCCCCATTCAGTAAGAGGACAGCCGGAGCTCATCTCTTCTCCCCGGCACGTCCTCCTGACTCCCTCCTGGGTTTTATTAGCTTTATGATACATATCCCTGTTTTTACTTGTTATCTATACAGCTTTATCTTTTTAAAAAGATTTTATTTATTGGGGCGCCTGGGTGGCTCAGTGGGTTAAGCCTCTGCATTCGGCTCAGGTCATGATCTCAGGGTCCTGGGATCGAGCCCCACATCGGGCTCTCTGCTCCACAGGGAGCCTGCCTCTCTGCCTAGTTGTGATTTCCCTCTGTCAAATAAATATTAAAAAAAAAAAAAAAAAGATTTTATTTATTCATTTGTGGGAGAAAGCAAGCAGGTGCAATTGGGGGGAGGGGCAGAAGGAGAGAGGATCTCAGGCAGAACCGCCCCCCCCCCCCCCCCCCCCCCGCTCCCTGACACAGGGCTCGATCTCGCGATCCTGAGCTGACAGCGAGAGCCAGACGCTTGACTGACCGAGCCACCCAGGTGCCCCTTTATGACTTTAAATTACATAGTTCAAGTTCCTTTCCTAACTTCTACGGAGGGCAGCCTGGCCATGTCTTTCCAAAGCTGCAAATGCCCAGCTCTTCCATTCGGAGGAGTAGCTACAGATACTCCAGCCGGGAAAACAGCACACGTGTGCTGGGCTTGCTGCCCCGATTCCTGTAACAACCCAGGCGTCCGTCACCACACACCGAGAAGCAGTAACCAAGATGTGTTTTTAAGTGAAAAGAAAAAGTGCGCAGCAGCACAGAGTTTTCTGCCCTTCGTGAAAAAGACAGAAAACAATGTACACATGCGTGTTTCCGTGTCTGCAAGGACCCGTGAGGATGTGGCATTGCCTAGAGAGAGATGGCTGATGGACAAGGTTGGAATGGGGAGTTTTTATTGTAAATCCTTTTGCAATTTTAAAATGCTGACCTCTGTGTATGTATCTTCATACAAGGAGCACCTGGGGGGCTCTGTCGGTTAAGCCTCTGCCTTCCACTCGGGTCATGATCTCAGGGTCCTGGGATCCAGTCCTGCTCCGGCTCCCTGCTCAGTGGGGAGCCTGCTTCCCTCTCCTTCTGTTGCTCCCCCTGCTCATGGGCACACTCACGCTCTCTCTCAAATAAATAAATAAATAACATCTCTAAAAATAAATAAATAAACAAAAATAAAAATAGCCCGACCTCTATTTCTTCATTGAGAAACTTCCCTCTTGGTTCTCTCCCCGTAAGATCAAGTTACTGATCTCCCCTCTTCTTTATCAGCTTCTGTTCTGAGAACCACCATTTTTACAACGTCAGGGTTTACAATCTCTACTTTCTGCCCTTACCTATAGGCTGATCCTAAAAAAGCAGAAGCCAGCAAATGTTTGAGGAAGCTGGTTGTCAGGGCAGGACCCGCCCTGGGGGAACCATCCTTGCCTCACTCCAGTCCACGCAGAACCTTCGAAGCCACCTCGCCAAGTGCAGCGTGTCCTATAACGAGGACACACATGACCTTTGTTCCACAGGAGCTGAGAGGTCACAGGAAGTCAAGGTCTCAAGGTCAGGGAACCCCACACCTTCACCAGCCAGCTCTCTGACCCACCCTAGGACGTGCAGCGGCACGGTCTGGAAGGCCCCCAAAAGTCCTGGCATTCACAGGTCGCTGATTCTGCTTCTGGTCCCTTCAGAAACTCAGTTAATTAGTAAGATTTTTTTTTTTTTTTTTTTTTTTTTGTAATGACCACTGTGATTCCTACGTGAAAAATAAAGGTGAATGTGGAAATCAAGATGTCTGATGGGAGAAGGAAAACCAACCAAGAAGGTCAGATCTCTGTCCACTGGGAAACCTTCAGGCCAGGTTTGGGGCTGCGGCTGCCTCTTGATTCTGCGTTTTCTGTCATGCTCTTGGGGCCCCACCCAGACCAGCTCCCCAGTCCTTCCAGGTGTCCTCTTGGCGGGCCTGATGGCAGGCCATTGGTATGGCCTTGCCTGCCAAACCCAAGGACCGGAGCTGAGGGCACAGGGAGAAACCACGTGGGTGTTGTCAGGGCCTTGGGCCAGGTGCCCATCCTTCTCTGCCTGTCCATCTGTCCACCCACAGGCTCTCCTGCTCGCACTCCAAGGTGGGGATCAGATCCAGGCAGCCTTGCGCATGACCCCGAGACCCTCCCTGAGGCTGGTCCCCTCCCTGAGGCACCCCCTGCCCAGGCCAGCCTCCTGGGGGCGTGTTCTCGAGCACACATGCCTACACACACGGAGGGGAGCTCGGAATCCAGGAGGCCCCTGGTGCAGCGTGGGGACCCCCCAAAGGTGACCCCGCAGAAGCCACTGAGCGGGCAGGCCAGGCCGCAGGGAGAGCTCTCAGAGCTCAGGGCTACGGACACCCTCCGCTCTCTCTGTCTCCAGGGCACTCTTCTGCGGCCCAGCTCCCACGTGCTTTCTCTGCTCCCGTGAGGGTCCCTTTATTAACCTGCCAGCCGCACCCCTGCTTTGTCCGCTCTGTTTAAACGGCCTCCTGGCCTCCTCCTGTCACTTAGGACTTCTGCATGGCAAATTTGGGACTGCAAAGCTTGGAGCCCAGCTGGCCCGGCGGGTGGCCAGAGAAACCCCCACACAGGATGACGCGCTGTGTGGCTTCCTACTGGCAGCCTCGCCTCTCTGTGTCCTCGGAGCACTGAGCAGCACCCGCCCCGGGGCTCCCAGACGCCACCTAGGACACCCTGAGGGCTTTGAGCACTTCCAGGTCAGAGGCACACGGGCCTGAAACGGTCTCATTTCCAACCCTTTCATCAGTTTAGCTGCTCTCGAAGCCCCGATACGGCATGCTCTCCTCGAGTTGTGGGCATGTCCCAGCCAGCGACCCGGGTGGGCACCCCAACAGTTGTCCAGGGTCTCCCCATGGGGCCTCCCATCTGCAGCTTCAGCGGCTGCAGAGCCCCAAGCACGGTGGGCCTGGGCCTCGGATGGTTCCTTCCGCACCTGCTCGTCCCCGTTCTTCACTCCGTCTGCCAGACCCGGCGCTGTTCCCACCAGCAGCAGCGTGTGTCCCTGTGTCCCCAAAGGGGGCACATCATATCACGTGGGGTGCAGCGGGAGAGGACCAGCGTGAGCAGGGCGGGCCGGCCGCCGTTCTGGACGGAACCCCCAAATTCACCTTGGAATGCGACTGGATTTGGAAACAGGGTCTTTAAGAGGTAATTAAGGTCAAATGAAGTCATTGGGGTGGGTCCTGACCCAATGTGACTGGGGCCCTTAGGAGACACAGAGGGAAGGGCGTCTCGGTGGCTCAGTTGGTTAAGTATCTGCCCTTCAGCTCAGGTCATTCAGGGTTGTGGGATCGAGCCCCACGTCAGGCTCCCTGCTCAGCGGGGAGTCTCTTTCTCTGCTCATGCTCTCTCTTGTGCTATCTCAAATAAATAAAATTATATCTTCAAAAAGAAAAAAGACACAGATGGAAGGCCACGCGAGGTCACAGCAAGAAGATAGCTGTGTGCAAGCCCAGGAGAGGCCTCAGAAGGGACCAAACCCATGACACCTTGATCTCAGACTTCTGGCCTCCGGGATTGTCAGAAAATAATGTTTCTGAAGCTGCCCGGTCTGTGTTACTTGGTTCTGACAGCCCCGGGATGCTAGCTCAGCTGCCCCTGGCCACGGACTGCGTCAGCAGATGCCATTAGTGTCTGTGGGACCAGGCACCGGGAGGTTCCCACGGCCTCCCTCCCAACCTGCCAGCAGGCTCCAGAGGCAAAGCCAGCACTCGGCCTGGGGCTGTCCGGCCCCCGCCCCACACCCTGCAGCGGGCAGCCACGGGAGGGTCCACGAGAGGGCCACGTGGCCACGGACAGCACCTTCACCGGGCCGCCTCGGATCGTTAATGGCTCATCCTTTACCCTGATTAGCATCCTGTCTCTTTCACCATGGAAACAAGCGGCCTTCTGTCAAGTTCTAGGCTCTGCGGGTTCAGGATCGGTCCCTTCAGAGTCCACTCACCTCGCTGAAGACCAAATCCACACTCAGAACGATGCTATCGGTCTGCCTCAGGATGTGTCTGTGATTTATGTTCTTTCAGATCCCACAGAAACGCCAAACCCCCAACACCTGCTCTGCCTGAGACAACACGTGTTTACGGAAAGGAAAGTACCAGATTAGGGAGAGGGACCAGTATGGTCAACCCAAAGCTGAAAGGTCACAGGCAGAGAGAGAGCTCAGCGGTGCGCCTGAGGGGTGGCCTCACACCTTGCCAGCTCCTTCCTGCGTGTGTCCCTGAAGCTGCCCCACGAGACTGTGAGTCCCCCTTCTCACAGTGCTTCCAAA